GGCAGTATGGTGTATGGCTCTCATTGGTTCAGTGCCTCCGCTAATTTTTCAGACAGGCGGATACAATTTCCATCCAGGAAAAGCAATGTGCATGTACCCATTCCAAAGTAACATTGCTTATACCGTGTTCATCGAATGTGTGTTTGTCGCTGCGCCCTTTACATTCATCACTTTCTGCTACGCCAAAGTGTTCTACACAGTGTCAAGATCAAATCGTGTTTTCATGCAAGAAAATAACCCTGAACAGCTCAGAGCAAACGTCGAAGAAGCAAAAGTGACCAAGACATTAGCCTTGGTCATGGCCAGTTTCTCCTTATGTTGGCTTCCTATCTGTATTATGGATTACATCGACGCAGCACGCGGGGAGCCCACTTTGCCACGACAGGTATATCTTACTTACGCGTTTCTGGCCTACCTAAGTAGTACAATCAACCTGTTCATATATGGCGCTACCAACAGGCGCTTCAGACGAGAGTACAAAACTATTTTGAAAAAGATTAGTTTGATCTTTACTTGTGGCCGTTTCAGCTGAAGACAGAATCGAACGTCCGATAATCCGCCAAGTTTAGTGGTGTTGGAGCTTTAAATTTTGTCGCATTGCATTATAATCGCCATTAAATTTTTTGATAAACTTGGAAAAGAAATGCAAGTCTCGGACGATTGGTGTGCATATATAATAAGAATCATTGTCGGCATCATAATAAAAATTTCAATTAGAATAGATTGTTTTTGAAACTCTTATTCCAACTAGTGGTCTATTATCAATGCTGCGTTCTGATTGGTTGAGCTACTACTAGGCAATACGGTTATAGCCCACTAGTAGCGAAAAGCGCCGACTTTTTGGCGGCAAAAAAGGATTAAAGTCTAGCTTTAACTAGCTAAATTTTTTTTATTCTCTATATTTTTTACCAACTAGTTGGATTTTACTAAAACAATTATTCCTCTCGCCCTCATGGCCTCTGAGTCAATAGCTCATTCGGCATTCGGCCTTCGGACTCATGGGCTATTGACTCAGAGCCCATTCGGGCTCGAGGAATAATTGTTAAATATTCCTAATAATAGAGAACGAACGCTTCGCTGCATTTGACATAAAGTAAAGTAATTTTCAGACCAACACTGACCGTCCATTTTATCTCTTCACAAATGAGACCGTAACGGTATGAAAATATTCTTTCCGAAGATGCTGGATGCGAAAGAATTAATTTCAAGTTTTTATACTACTACATGAGAAATTTCTGCAATTTGATTGGTTTAGAGCAGTGGTATTTCAGCTTAATTTGAAATACCTACATGTGAAAATTACAGACCTTTTGCGGGTAGTAGTATAAACGAATAATAGCATGATTTGTACGTGATATTTGGCATAAATATACAATACCGCCAGTTACGCAGGCTAGTAGTATACGTGCGATGGTTTCAGAGGTGCCTCTGATGTACGGTATAGTCGCTGTCGTAACAGGGCCAGAGTTGACGTTGGTCTGACTGTTGGAGTACGTTCAGCAGGACGATCAAACTCAACCTACTTTTGAAATGACTCATAGGTTCAAACCTTTCACAGTTTTATAAAAATACTCTCTAGGAAGATATTGGATGCAAATGAATTAATTCAAATAAACCCATAAACTAATCACAAACAAGGAAATGTCTGCGAAGTGAATGAAGTTTACCCGACTACTTAAGTGACCACTATCGAATTGCCCCATTCATTGGAAAACGTTAGGGACCTTAAGATCTGAGGACGGCGACAGCTGCGAAAACGTCGCTGAAAAAGTGAATTCGCGTTCTTTCAATCTTCCTCGCGATTACTCCAAGTCACTTACTTTGTCAAAGGTGAACCCTCCTAAAAGTTGAATTCCTAAGAACCATATCCAAGTTCAAAAAGAGAGAGGAAATTTCGTCGTCGCTTAATTGTGTACTTCCGCTGTAAAAAGTGAAAATATACATTTTCACGTCGTAGTCGTGCAGTGATGGCAAAGAAATGTACAAAAAAGCGTGATGCACGTTGTTTTGTTTATTAAACCTATTGCTTTTTGACGTTCTCGTTGTCGTCTCCGTCGTCGGATCTTTTAAAAGGGCCCTATTTTACCCCTAACCGACGGAGACGTAGACACTCTTAGCTACTAGGATATCTCTTCTTTTTGGGGCAGCTGTTTAAGTCTTGGTTAGCTGTAAACAATGAATTCAAATTAACTTCAAACTTGGTGTTGATATAAATAACTAATGATTTGACATTTTTGATTAATGACGCGAACACCTGATCCAGTATAGAAGGCTACTTCCCTTAAACGTTGAAAACAGTAGAGTTCAAATTATTACAAAGATCTTCCCAAAATTTCGATGAATACTTTCGACGAATTCGTTTGAATCAGCCCCGTATTTATGGATCGTCTGCATTCCAGCGAGCTCCTCAAAAGAGCACAGTATCTAATCTGGATTGAAGCAATTTTCCTTGCTATCGTCAATATAATGGCCATCTCTGGAAACATTTCTGTTTGCTACGCCGTGTATAGAAACCATAGACTTCGTTCGCTTACCAATATGTTTATTGAAGCGCTAGCTGTCAGTGATTTACTAATATCGGTCTGCTGTATGCTTCTGTCAGTTGCTACTCTCGTTCAAAGCCGATGGATATTCGGGACCAGTGTTTGTCAACTGCAGGGTTTTGCGATGTTTACGTTTTCATTGGCGTCTCTAAATACCATGGGGGTTATTGCAGTTAGCCGATATTTTTGCGTGGTGAAACCAACGAAGTACATTGTTTTATTTAGAAAACAAAGAATTGTGTTGTACACTACGGCAGTATGGTGTATGGCTCTCATTGGTTCAGTGCCTCCGCTAATTTTTCAGACAGGCGGATACAATTTCCATCCAGGAAAAGCAATGTGCATGTACCCATTCCAAAGTAACATTGCTTATACCGTGTTCATCGAATGTGTGTTTGTCGCTGCGCCCTTTACATTCATCACTTTCTGCTACGCCAAAGTGTTCTACACAGTGTCAAGATCAAATCGTGTTTTCATGCAAGAAAATAACCCTGAACAGCTCAGAGCAAACGTCGAAGAAGCAAAAGTGACCAAGACATTAGCCTTGGTCATGGCCAGTTTCTCCTTATGTTGGCTTCCTATCTGTATTATGGATTACATCGACGCAGCACGCGGGGAGCCCACTTTGCCACGACAGGTATATCTTACTTACGCGTTTCTGGCCTACCTAAGTAGTACAATCAACCTGTTCATATATGGCGCTACCAACAGGCGCTTCAGACGAGAGTACAAAACTATTTTGAAAAAGATTAGTTTGATCTTTACTTGTGGCCGTTTCAGCTGAAGACAGAATCGAACGTCCGATAATCCGCCAAGTTTAGTGGTGTTGGAGCTTTAAATTTTGTCGCATTGCATTATAATCGCCATTAAATTTTTTGATAAACTTGGAAAAGAAATGCAAGTCTCGGACGATTGGTGTGCATATATAATAAGAATCATTGTCGGCATCATAATAAAAATTTCAATTAGAATAGATTGTTTTTGAAACTCTTATTCCAACTAGTGGTCTATTATCAATGCTGCGTTCTGATTGGTTGAGCTACTACTAGGCAATACGGTTATAGCCCACTAGTAGCGAAAAGCGCCGACTTTTTGGCGGCAAAAAAGGATTAAAGTCTAGCTTTAACTAGCTAAATTTTTTTTATTCTCTATATTTTTTACCAACTAGTTGGATTTTACTAAAACAATTATTCCTCTCGCCCTCATGGCCTCTGAGTCAATAGCTCATTCGGCATTCGGCCTTCGGACTCATGGGCTATTGACTCAGAGCCCATTCGGGCTCGAGGAATAATTGTTAAATATTCCTAATAATAGAGAACGAACGCTTCGCTGCATTTGACATAAAGTAAAGTAATTTTCAGACCAACACTGACCGTCCATTTTATCTCTTCACAAATGAGACCGTAACGGTATGAAAATATTCTTTCCGAAGATGCTGGATGCGAAAGAATTAATTTCAAGTTTTTATACTACTACATGAGAAATTTCTGCAATTTGATTGGTTTAGAGCAGTGGTATTTCAGCTTAATTTGAAATACCTACATGTGAAAATTACAGACCTTTTGCGGGTAGTAGTATAAACGAATAATAGCATGATTTGTACGTGATATTTGGCATAAATACCACTCGTGATATTTCAAAATTGTCTCAAATTTCACTCGCCTAACGGCTCGTGAAATTACGTATAACAATTTTGAAATATCACTCGTGGTATTTATGCCAAATATCACTACAAATCAGGCTATTACCTATACTAATAAACTCGTAAACCATTACAAACATGGAAATGTCTGCGAAGTAAATGAAGCCAACGGACAGGCTAAGTGACAAATGTCAAATTTCTCCGTGTATTATTAAAAAACAGAGAGGCAGACGCTCTTGGCTACTGGAATATTTGTACTTTTCGGAGATATATTTTGCCACTGTTTAATTCTTGGCTGTGAAAGAAGGAATTCAAATTACTTTCTTGTTTGGTGTTTATATAAATAGCTAGTAAGAAAACATTTTTCATAAATGAGAGGAGACAAACACCTGCTGTAAAAAGACTACTTCCTTCAATAGTCCAGCTGTTATCGACCAAAAATTTAGTGAATTAGTATATACACACTCAGTGATCTTGGTGATTTAAGCAATCTGATTGGTTCGCTATCTCGGACTATTCAACATTATTCACCTCCTAGCGAGTGGATAATGTGTGAGCTCGGTGTTTTTCCCGTTTTTTAGAGAACGATCTTTTAAAAATCGACAAAATCCTAAGACTGACTTTTTTTAAGGCAAGAAAAGACTTGGAAGGATTCAATACAGAATTTTTTAATTTACTGTAGCTGAGTTTTGTGCTCAATGGATTGTTTACAACTCCCGTGTATTCGCGTAGAAGACGCCGTTTCGTGAACTCAGCGTTTTCTAACAAGAAATTTATTTCTAATAATAGAGTACGAACACTTTGTTGCATGTGACATAAATTAAAGTAAAGTTAATTTCTGACCAACACTGACCGTAGATTATCTCTTCACAAATGAGACCGTAACGGTATGAAATATTCTTTAGGAAGATGTTGGATGCGAATGAATTAATTTCAAGTTTTAATAAACCCGTAAACCATTACAAACAAGGAAATGTCTGCGAAGTCAAAGAAGCCAACTGACAGGTTAAGTGACAAATGTCAAATTTCTCCGTGTATTATTGGAAAACAGAGAGGCAGACGCTCTTGGCTACTAGAATATTTGTACCTTTTCGAGGTATATTTTGCCACTGTTTCATTCTTGGCTGTGAAATAAGGAATTCAAATTACTTTCTTGTTTGGTGTTTATATAAATAGCTAGTGAGAAAACATTTTTCATAAATGAAACGAGACAAACACCTGCTGTAAAAAGACTACTTCCCTCAAACATCGAAAACAGCAGAGCTCAAAGCCTGGCTACAAATTAAAGATCTTCACATGATTTTCCTGAAT